GCATACATATTTTGATCGATTTCGTTTATTTGAAACCCCAAACATGATATGTATGTTTGATTTCAATGAAATTTGAAATTTGTGACAAGATTTGATCAAAAGATTTGGATATAGCTCTCATATATATTTTTTCGGCCGATTTCATGTATTTGATGCACCAAACACGCTATGTATATCTAATTTCAATGAAATTTGTAATGTGTGACGGAATTCAAAACGAATTAAAAACGGGCTGAACCCCCCTTATATGGGGCCTATACGAAGACGTGCACCTGCACACACAATTTTCTGTCTTAGGCTGTATTGTGCATTACGAACTTCAAATACCAAATTTGAAACAATTCCGGCGAAAAATGTTTCTAAAATCATCAACGTAACGATTATCGGGAGGTACCGTTATATGGGGGCTGTACCAAAACGTGAACCTACATGGTCTATTTTAAATACCAAAAGTCGTTCGGAAGCTAGAGTGATTCCCACAGGCTGACAAACGGATAGACAGACGGACATTGCTAAATCGACATAGAATTTTATGCTGATCAAGAATTCATATACTTTGTGGGGTCTAAAATGTATATTTCGAGGTGTTACAAACGGAATGACAAATTTAATATACCCTCCATACTATTGTGGAGGGTATACAAACTACACAAGAATTTAATTGAGGGTATGATTATTACGGGGATATATGTTGATACCTCGAATTCTGTAATTGAAACAGAAATGCCTCTCAACTTCAAAAGATTGCAGTTTCCTGAACGCTTGGGATTTGCTATAAAATTAATAAATCCGAAGGACAATCCCTTCGTGTATGCGGACTAAATACAGCATTTTCCTGCTTTTCTCATGGTCAGCTGCTCCTGGCATGTTCACGCGTTGAAAGACCAAGCTATTTCTTTGTTTACGCATAAAAGTATAACAATATATTTTTATACCCTACACCACATAGTGGTAAGGGTATTATGTCTTTGTGCATTTGTTTGTAACATGGAGAAGGAAACCAGATAGACCCATAGTTACTTTTGAGAACCTTCATAGAATCACTTTCTGAGTCGATTTATGCATGTCAGTCCGTCTGTCCGTCCGTCCGTCTGTCCATGTATTCTTGTGAACAAAATGCAGGTCGCATTTATTATTCGATTGAGATGAAATTTTCCAAACAATATTTTTTTGGCCCAAGGACGAACCCTATTGAAATTGGTGAGAATCGGATCAAATTTAGATATAGCTCCCATATATATCTTCATCCGATTTCGGGTTAAATGTGCACCAAATGTCCACTATCAGTCCAAATTACCAGAATTTTGGCACACCCAACCGAGTTCGGCCTAGAAGCAAGTATATCAAATTTGGAGAAAATCGGTTCAGATATAGCTATAGCTCCCATATATATCTTTCATCCGATTTGATCTTTAAGTCCCTCACATTCCTACTATGCACTCCACAACCGTGATATTTGGTACCAGGTATTAGATGGAGCACAGAAATAGCTGTTTTAAATTTTATCGAAATCGGTTCAGATTTGGATATAGCTCCCATATATATCTTCATCCGATTTCGGGTTAATTGACCACCAAATGGCCAAAATCAGCCCAAATGGCCCGAATTTTGGCACATGTGACTGAGATTAGCCTTAAAGCAAATACAACAAATTTGGAGAAAATCGGTTCAGAAACAGCTATAGCTCCCATATATATGTTTTATCCGATTTGGTGTTTAAGCCTCTCACATTCGTAATATGCACTCCACAAGAATGATATTTGGTACCAGATATAAGATACAGCCCAGAAATAGCTGTTTGTAATTTTATCGAAATCGGTTCAGATTTGGATATAGCTCCCATATATATCTTCATCCGATTTCGGGTGATTGACCACCAAATGGCCGTAATAGCATCAATTTTGGCAAATCCGACCGAAACCAGCTTAGAAGCAAGTACACCAATTTTAGTAAAAATCGGTTCAGATATAGCTATAGCTCCCATATATATGTTTCACCCGATTTCGTCTTTAAATCCCTCACATTCGTAATATGCACTCCACAGGAATGATATTTGGTACCAGATATCAGATAAAGCCCAAAAATAGTTGATTTTAATTTTATTAAAATCTGTTCCGATTTGGATATGCCTCCCATATATATCTTCATCCGATTTCGTGTTAATTGTGCATCAAATGGCCAATATCAGCCCAAATGGCATGAATTTTGGCAAATCCGACCGAAACCAGCCTATAAGCAAGTACACAAATTTTAGTAAAAATCGGTTCAGATATAGCTCTAGCTCCCATATATATGTTTCATCCGACTTGCTCTTTAAGTCCCATTACATTCGTAATATACTCTTCACAGGAATGATATTTGGTACCAGATATCAGATAAAGCCCAAAAATAGTCGATTTTAATTTTATCAAAATCTGTTCAGATTTGGATATAGCACCCATATGTATCTCCATCCGATTTCGTGTTAATTGTGCAACAAATGGCCAATATCAGCCCAAATCACCTGAATTTTCGTACATAAGACCGAATTCAGTCTAGAAGCTAATACGTCAAATTTGGAGAAACCCGGTTCAGATATAGCTATAGTTCGTAAAATGCACGATAGAATTAGATAGATTTTGATTTTGTACCAAATATCTCATAGAGCTCTGAAATGCCCTGTATAAACCTTTTTACGAGAGCTCTACTAAATATGCATAGTGGTGTAGGGTATCATATAGTCGGCCCCGCGCGACTTTTGAGCTTTCCTTGCTGGTTTGTTGTTGCAAAATGGTCAGGCTTATCCCTTTATTGTTGTTTTTATAAAAACAACATTTGTTTATTAGTGGAGAACGATGGTTATGTTTACCAGGGGTAAGGCAGGAAATACCTAGGTTTCGGAAAGAGCTACCAATCCTCATCAGTTCCTTTATTTTTTTTTTTTTTAAATTTTTGATTTTTTTTTAACCAACAAATATTTTTGTGTACAATTTTGAATGCATATAAAAGCGAAAGGAGTAGCAAAGCGCGCCGGGTTCAGCTAGTAATGTATATATGTAAACATTTTCCAATCAAATGAATTGTAATTGTAACATTTAAAAATCACAATTGTAACAAAAAAAAAACCTCAGTTTTGTCCACCTTATGATTTACCGCAACTTAATTTATGTTCAGAAAATATCTAAAAATTGACTTGAACTTTTTTCATATATCTGTCTACAGATTTTAAATATTTTGATGCTTTCATTCCAATCGAATAAGTATTTTAGCGTTTTATGTTCTTAGAGCAGACGGCCCTTGTGATTTACTGCTTCACTAATTCGAATCCAAATGCTGTGGTCCACTTTTAAATTTTTAGAATTGAAGTCACAATTACCTTCTTCTGGTGCATTATTTTGATTCAACCTTGCTATAAGAATAAACCAAAAAAGTATTGCAAATATAAAAGTCAAATGGAAAAAATTTCAAGCGACATAGAATCGAGTAAAAAAGAAGCTAAGTTCGGCCGGTCCGAACTTTTAATAACTTATATGAAAACCGTCTGTCATAGGTTGTAGTACAAATTCCGAACTTCAAATACTTCAAATTTAAAACAATTCCGGTGAATAATGTCGCTAATATCATTAAAATGCCGAATATTGGAAAGTACCGTTATATGAGGCTACATGAAAACGTGTACCTATATCGACAATGTTTTGCCACAAGAAGTGGAACCCATTATAAAATCTACGAACCGTATTATAACCAATTATGTTTCAAAATGTGGTTTAAATTCCTAAAATACCGAATATTGGGAGCTACGGTACGAAAATGTCATCTAAATAGCCAAAAAACCGAAAATCGGGAAATACTGTTATATAGGGGCTAAAAGAAAACGTGAACCAATATTAACGGATTATAAAATTTTTCCTTATATAATTTGAATTTTTTTTACAATACAATTATAATATGATCTTCCTTTCCATAAAATTAAATGTCTGAGACGTTTTTTTTTTTATTTATATGGCATAATTAAAGAAAGTAGAACAAAGCTACCCCCTGAATACAATTTTTTTGTCTTTTGGTGCCTTTATTCTGTTAAATCATATACATATTTTGTGTATGCGTGTGTATTGTTTTTAATTAAAAATAAATAATTTGAAATTATTTCAAATTTGGTTGCTAAATAAACGTATATTTTCGACGTTAACGGGCAACAAATTGTACGAATTTGAGATTAAACTGTGTTGTTCTACTATTTTAGATTCAATCTTGTGGAATAACCCCGAAATTCCATTCTTATTTCGAAGGTTTTCCCCAGTACAAAAATTAAAAAAAAAAAGAAAAATAAACTAAATCAACTTTTGCATATTTAAAAGTCTATTTGACACTATAAGAATCCAGCAAAGAGTTGCATTTTTCTTTCTTTAAATTTGTTCTTTCTTTGAAATTGAGCAACCTTTCTTATTGAGCCATGTGAACACATACACTTTGAGGTTAGATAATTTAGATGTACATCTATGTGTGACATTTTTCTATCACCTGCTATCAAGTTGCTTTGACAATTGTGAACTTCCGGAATCAACCTTCCCTTGAGTTTTAACCAGTTTCTCTGCTCGTAGAAATTTTTCTTCTCCGATTTCTGATATGTTGAATTTCTTTTTGCCAATTTAGATATGTCAATGTGAAAGGTGGCACCATGTGCTGGTGCTGTCGCTCATAAACGTTACGACAGACAAGCCAAAGATGTTTTTGAAATAAACGTCATTACTTTTTGTGACATTCTCCTTTTTACAATTCCTTTACATGCCTTCTGGCGATTGTGATAAAATGTCGGAAGGTTTTTTGTTGCAGTCAATATGACCGATGCATGTGCTAATAATTCCCAACTCAAGACTCATCACAGACAGGCAACAGACCGAACAACGTTCAACTGAGAATGACATCAGAATGTTGAGGAAGAACTGCATTTCATCCATTTAATTTAACAATAAATTTCTGCTCTTTTTGCTCTTTCTTCTTTCATTTTTTCTTACGAACAGAGCACGGAATACCTGGAGGGATTCAACATCAACATCACCAAAACCTACAAAAAACAGAAACACTGCAAACACAAGAGACTGTTTGTGACGGAAGAAACAGTGCCTGACATCAATTTTCCTGTTCTTCATGAAGTCGACAACAACAACATCATCGAAGGTGCTGCTCGCAGCAGCCGGAGTTCAGCCACAGATGGATTACGTTCAGCTCAAAGCTATACCCGAACGATTACGATGGTCCTATCATCTATGGCGACACATCTTCTAATGGCGCAGCATTCGGTCTTATCCAGGTGGATAAGGGCTTGGTGGCAGTGGCGGTGGTGGTTCCTAACGTCGTAAAAGATTTAAAATGTCACACATTTACCACACAATTGTGGGTTGAGTAACGACGAACGGAACAGAGTTACGTATGTATCTTAGTAAGTTAGTACGTTTTTTTTACAAAAACACAGATAGAAATGAAAGAAATATCCAAGAAATTTATTTTATGTAGATATATATTTCTTATGCTCTCTTCTTTATCTGTATTTCCTCCCGAACTTTTCGCTTATTCCTTTTAGGGTTGGTTTTTAGCATAGGTTTTTATACCCTACACCACATAGTGGTAAGGGTATTATGTCTTTGTGCATTTGTTTGTAACATGGAGAAGGAAACCAGATAGACCCATAGTTACTTTTGAGAACCTTCATAGAATCACTTTCTGAGTCGATTTATGCATGTCAGTCCGTCTGTCCGTCCGTCCGTCTGTCTGTCCATGTATTCTTGTGAACAAAATGCAGGTCGCATTTATTATCCGATTGAGATGAAATTTTCCAAACAATATTTTTTTGGCCCAAGGACGAACCCTATTGAAATTGGTGAGAATCGGATCAAATTTAGATATAGCTCCCATATATATCTTCATCCGATTTCTGGTTAAATGTGCACCAAATGTCCACTATCAGTCCAAATTACCTGAATATTGGCACACCCAACCGAGTTCGGCCTAGAAGCAAGTGTGTCAAATTTGGAGAAAATCGGTTCAGATATAGCTATAGCTCCCATATATATCTTTCATCCGATTTGATCTTTAAGTCCCTCACATTCCTACTATGCACTCCACAACCGTGATATTTGGTACCAGGTATTAGATGGAGCACAGAAATAGCTGTTTTAAATTTTATCGAAATCGGTTCAGATTTGGATATAGCTCCCATATATATATTCATCCGATTTCGGGTTAATTGACCACCAAATGGCCAATATCAGCCCAAATGGCCCGAATTTTGGCACATGTGACCGAGATTAGCCTTAAAGCAAATACAACAAATTTGGAGAAAATCGTTTCAGAAACAGCTATAGCTCCCATATATATCTTCATCCGATTTCGGGTTAAATGTTCACCAAATGTCCACTATCAGTCCAAATTACCTGAATTTTGGCACACCCAACCGAGTTCGGCCTAGAAGCAAGTGTGTCAAATTTGGAGAAAATCGGTTCAGATATAGCTATAGCTCCCATACATATCTTTCATCCGATTTGGTGTTTAAGCCTCTCACATTCGTAATATGCACTCCACAAGAATGATATTTGGTACCAGATATAAGATACAGCCCAGAAATAGCTGTTTGTAATTTTATCGAAATCGGTTCAGATTTGGATATAGCTCCCATATATATCTTCATCCGATTTCGGGTTAATTGTGCACCAAATGGCCGATATAATCCAAATGGACTGAATTTTAGTACATCGGACCAAATTCAGCCTAGAAGCAAGTATATCAAATTTAGTGAAAATCGGTTCAGATATAGATATAGCAACCATATATATGTTTCATCCGATTTAGAGTTTTAGTCCCATACATTCGTAATATTCACTCCACAACCGTGATATTTGGTACCATGTATTAGATGGAGCACAGGAATAGCTGTTTTAAGTTTTATCGAAATCGGTTTAGATTTGGATATAGCTCTCATATATATCTTCATCCGATTTCGGGTTAAATGTGCACTAAATGGTCAATATCAGCCCAAATCACCAGTCTAGAAGCTAATACGTAAAATTTGGAGAAACCCAGTTCAGAGATAGCTACAGTTCGTAAAATGCACGATAGAATTAGATAGATTTTGATTTTGTACCAAATATCTCATAGAGCTCTGAAATGCCCTGTATAAACCTTTTTACGAGAGCTCTACTAAATATGCATAGTGGTGTAGGGTATCATATAGTCGGCCCCGCCCGACTTTTGAGCTTTCCTTACTGGTTGTAAATAACAAATTTTGGCCATTAATTTTAGATCTGTTCCAAAAAATCCAAACCAAACTTGAATACATTTCAGGACTCGCACATTTCCATTTCAGCTTTTGTTTAACATTGGTTTTCTTTCAATTATGCACCTACACTCCCTCTCACCCTTGCACACTTGCACGTAGAGAACTGGAACTTTTGTCCCTGTATGTAGTGCAGTATATTTATAACGTACTTATAAAATTAGTTAACACCAGTCCAATGCCAAGAAACCCGTTGGCATCTCAACGACAAGACATGTAAATTGCCCAGCCTGATATCCGCAGGAGCATGGCAATAAATAGGTTTATAAGTGATACAAGAACTGATTTAAAAGTATCCTTTCAAGCTTTTGTTTTTCTTAATTAGGTATTTACGAATATGAATTAAAGAACCCGAAATTGTTTTAAAATACTGTAGCCTAGCTAATCTTAATGTAAAATACATACAACCCGAGTTTTCGTACCACCACTCAAACATTTTTTTTTTATATTTGCGAAAATGCAGAAAATATCATAGCAAAAAATGTATTAGACTAGTGAGTAGTGATAAGAATATGACAAACAAATAATTATTTAAAGAGAAAAACCCAAATGAATTGTGATTGTTTTTTTTTACATATTTAAATACATACATAAACATTTAATTAAGGTGTTGTAGCCTAAATGAGTTTGACCCCTCCCTCGCATAATGTGAAAATGAAATTATTTGTAAAACAATGCCAACAACAAATATTTACATTAGCTTCAGGAGTGTATGATAAATGTTTACCTCAAAGATAAAGTTCACATACACATGCAGTACATTGGTTGTTATAAAATGTTGCATGTCTCTATATCATCGCAAAGCCATGCAGGGCACAAAGAATTACCCCGTCGCGGGGTAAAATTTTGAACCGGAAATTACAAATGGAAAACATTTGATAATCTAAAAAATGACAATACAAAAAAAAAATAAATAAATAAAACAAAAAATAACTCTTGGAAGCACAGATATAATCCCTTTTGATGCGCGAAAAACTTTTATTATAATTTATACGTCCCTAAACTACACGCTCTAAGATAAAAAGAACACTGAACACAATTTTTTTTCTTCATATTCGTAATAATCTAAATTAAGTTTTCAATGAAAGAAATTATATTTTTATCTGCCAAGAGACTATTCCGAATTGGTGTGAACTGTTGAAACCCGTTTTAATATTAGATTCCACTAAAAAAATTTCTCGATTTTGAGAATTTTTTACATGAGATTTTTTCTCTTTTTCGTGATTTTTTTAGCAATTTTAAAATTATAATTATCCTTTGGGTTTGGTGTCACCGCGTTAAATCATTTCGACATTATCTATTCAATTTGGACACCACATAATTCGGTACTACAATGTAACCCACCTGCAAAAAATCGAGTCAATTCAATATAGTTCATCAAATTGGAAAAACCGTTCGTACACGATAAAATATTGATTTTTTTGTTCATATCGTGAAATGAAATTATTAAATATTAAGTCACATTTTTTTTTGGAATAAAGAACATTGCAATTGTACATTCCAAAAGTCAAAACGTTTTTTAAATTATTCTTTTCTGCCAAGAGACAATTACGAATTTGTCTGTATTGTTAAAATCAGACTAGCAGGACAAATTATGTTGTTATGACTAATACCGGCAAAACACCTTAAATATTGCTGTACAGTTATATCGGGCTTATATCAAAATGTCCCATTTTCAATTCCAAAAATTCTACATACCTAAAATGCATCTCAATCACAATACTTTATTTCGAATATATACTTGGCGGGATCTGAAATGCTTATTTCGAAAATATGGAGGGAATTAAAAAGAGTAATGAGTAATGGGTGTATTCTCCCGATTTGTGGTTAAACCAGATATTTCACGATATGATATAATGAAACGTGGATGTTTTACTTATATTGTTCGATGCATCAGCGCATTTGACAATTAATATTACTCACCTGCCATTGTCCTGGAATAAAATAATATATATTGTGAGGTAAAAACTCTCCACCATTTGTAACGAATTTGGTAATTTTCAAAAAAAAAAAATAAAAAAATAAATAAAAACTAAAATCCTATAAAATACTAAATTTGAATCAATTCCTGTGAATAATATCGCTAAAATCATCAAAATACCAAATATTAAGAGGTACCGTTACATGGATATACGAAGACGTGGACCTGCACAGACAATTTTCTGTCTTAGGCTGTAGTATCCATTACGAACTTCAAATACCAAATTTGAAACAATTCCGGTGAATAACGTCGCTAAAATCATCAAAGTACCAAATATCGGAAGAAACCGTTATATGGGGGCTATACGAAGGCGTGGACCTGCACAAACAACTTTCTGTCATAGGATGTAGTATCCATTGCGAATACAAATACCTGCACAGACATCTTTCTGTCATAGGATATAGTATGCATTACGAACTTCAAATACCAAATTTGAAACAATTCCAGTGAATAATGTCCTTAAATCACCAAAATACAGAAAACCTACGACCTACGGACCTACGTGGCCCAGTTTCAATACCACAAGTCCTGAAGACAAAGTATACATTCGAGTAAAATTTAATCAATGTGATCATGAATATATATACTTTGTGGGGTCTAAAATGTGTACTTCGAGGTGTTACAAACCGAGTGACAAACTTAATGTACCCTTCATACTATGGTGGAGGGTATAAAAAGCTATAAAGTTTCTCTAGATGTAAGCCCCCTTTTTACTAGAATGAACGATTCGCTCAAGACAAATTTAAATATTCGTTCATTAGTTTCCGATTTTTTGGAGCAATCAATAAAAATGAATTACTACTTTCATTTCTTCGAAATATCCTCATGATATGAAATTAGTATTTTCGAAAAAGAAGAACATTTCATACACTTCATTCCAAATTTGTTACTGGCAGCTATAATAAAAAATCATGTTCGTGTAGGGCTTCTTAAAGTCGGTCCGTCCGACTGTATACATTTCTGTAGTTGTTTTATCTTGAATACGGGGACTTTTTTAAGACAAACCATCAAAGTTTTTAAAGGCTTGAGATCTATTTAACTTTCCGCCAATGTTATGTTTCTTATGCATGGAGTGACTAATAATTCACCATACATTAACAACTATGCTTCTTTAAAACAATAATATATTTTCCTTTAAACGGATGCGAAGCCGCCATAACTTTTGGAGGATCGGAGGTAGTCGTACTAAAAATCGGTGGTTTATTTATTTATTTTATTTTTTATTTATTTATTTTTTATTTAATTTTTTTTTTTTTTTTTTTTTGATACATAAAGGATTATACTAGTAATCTCGAAAAATGGAAATTTTCTCTATTTCTATCCTTAAGCTAGAATCACCTTCAAACAGAAACATTTATCATACAGCTCTGCAGCTATAAAATAACAGACTTTTATACAAAACATGTATATTCATTTTCTTTTTCAATAAAGGCAAACTACTACTGTCAAACCCCTGAGCAATTTAATTCTTTTAAACATAAAGTAATTTATACCAATAAATATGAATACATACATTAAACATACATAGGATATACACAAAAAAAATTAACACTCATACCTATTAACATCTTTATACAACATCAAACGACTTGATAATTTTAAAGAATGATTTGTGCTTGGATACATTCAAATAGTTTCAGGTTAACGACACAAACAAACACCAAATAAAGAAACATCAAATTGATCTGCTTTACATACATGCCAAAAAAACTCCCAAATGCTAAGAATCCCTATTCTCCTCTTTTACTACTACTACTACTACTT